GAAAAACACAGTACCTAATCAAGGTGAGAAATATTCAGAAAAACACAGTACCTAATCAAGGTGAGAAATATTTAGAAAAACACCGTATGTAATCAAGGTGAGCAATATTTAGAAAAACACAGTACCTAATCAAGGTGAGAAATATTTAGAAAAACACAGTACCTAATCAAGGTGAGCAATATTTAGAAAAAGCCATAGCCGATACAGGTTTGCAATTTTTAAGAAACAACATTGGATAAAGTCTTAAACAATTATAAGCAAAATCTCAAATATACAGTGAGTTTGGTGCATATTTGTTAGCATTTCATGAGTAAAAAAGAAATTCTACTATTAAGTTTAACTATATAGTTGATTATGCTGGTTACCTACAAATGGACTTGTCTGCTCATTGTCTAACAAATTAAAAATAAATAAAATCCAACTTAATCAGAACTTTTTTAATGAAACAAACTTTATTCTTCTATAATCCAATTCAATGTTAAATCTTAAATACAGCTTAACTTAATTTTGATGTAAAACTAAAAAAAAAAGATTTTCAACTTTAAAGTTTCGATCAATCCTGAAACTAAACTCGCACTACTCTATTGCAGCATACACCAACAATTTAAATCACATAACAATTCGCTCTACAAGCAGGACTAACAATTGCCCCTAATTGAATTTAAAAATTTTATTTGCACTTCCATAGGTGTCGAAAAAAAAAGATTATTTATCAATGGAAATTTTTTGCTTTAGTAAAACTTAACAAAATAACAATACATTTGCTGCCTGATATTCTCACAGGAAATTCGGTTGACGATGGAAATATCTCTACGGATACCGCAATTGTTGTTGGAGAGCAATGTAAAACAAATGCGATTTCACTTCGTTATATACAGGCTAAAGCTAATACCAAAGAACCAAAAGCGGATCTTTAGGGTGGGTGTTTAAGCTTGGTGCTTACTTTCTATTCTTGATTTGGATGTGGAAATGTTAAAAAATCGTTCGCCGAAAAAAAAAAAAAACGAATCTTGAGGATATTTGCAGCTTTTATATTTTAAATACAGTGTTCTGATCTTAATATTTCTATGAACACACACACACACACTCTCTTTCTCTCTCTCTCTCTCACACACACACACACAAACACGCACACACACGCATATATATATATATATATATATATATATATATATATATATAGTAATATATATAGTAATATATATAGTAATATATATATAGTAATATATATATATATATATATAGTAATATATATATAGTAATATATATATATAGTAATATATATAGTAATATATATATATATATATATATATATATATATATATATATATATATATATATATATATATATATATACATATATGTATATATTTATAGACCTATACTAGACAGCCAAACAAGACCACCTCTGCACATACAGGTACTCCCCCCCGCTCAAAGACACATTAAGCGGGTGCACCTGCCCATCTGTTTCATGTTTGTTCCACTCACGTGGAGGACGATTTGTTTGTGTTGTCACAGTTATCTTTTAAACCATCAGCAAGAGGGCAGCGAAACATGTCTGAAAGCAAAGTTTTATCCTTACTATAAACCCTGTTTTGAGCTGGGAATTAGTTAGTGCTTCGTGGCCCTGGTTGGAATATCTCTAGTCTTAATGGCTAGATGAACGTAGCATGATTCTGATCTCCGTCCACGTTATATTTCCTTAACGTAGATAATAAATAATCCAATGCGGGAATATTGTAAGAACCAGGGCAACCCAGCTAGTTCGTGAGTTGACGGCCATTGTATACAATACGTTGTCAATAAAATATATATATATATATATATATATATATATATATATATATATATATATATATATATATATATATATATATATATATATATATATATATATGTATATGTATATATTTGGACATTGGCCAGAACATCACGGCCAATGCGCGCTTGCGCCGGCCAATATACAAAGTTCGCTGTCAAAGTTTTAAGCTCTTCGGATTTCGGCAAAGAGAGACGGTAAATGATACCGGTGGCCACTTTTCCGGCTTTGATATTAACTAAGTCTACAATAATAATAAAATACTTTAAAAAAACTTTTTAAAAAACCACTTTTTTCTTGTGGACTAAAAAGCAGAAAATAAATTTTCATACATTTGATGACAAAAACCGTGGGTACGTTCACCATCAAATTTCCCGACCCATCTGCCCGACCCACGTTTTTTGTCATCAAATGTATGAACATTTATTTTCTACTTTTTAGTCCACAAGAAAAACGTGGTTTTTTAAAAAGTTTTTTTTAAGTATTTTATTTTCTCCTTTTTAGTCCGTTGCTACACATGAAAAACGTGGTTTTTAAAAAAGTTTTTTATATAGTTTATTTTCTACTTCATCTAATGACTTGATTAAGTATGACTTGACTAAGTGTTTATAAATACACGGACTAAAAATCTTGAGCGACCAGGATTCGAACCTGGGTTGTCGCGGACACAACGCGAAGTACTAACCACTATACGATCACAGCCAGCGCGCTCACATCGATTGGGGCCGAAGTAACTGTGTCAATAGGCCTCCAGTCTTGTCGGTATCTTTAGAAATCATGTCCTCAATTTTATGGTCCTTGGGGCGTAATTAAATTAAGCTAATTACGGTATCTAATTGCTAGTTTTTATGATTGCATCTGAAATTGTTAGGCGAAAGTAGCCTACATGCCAAATTTCAGATCTCTAGAGCAATCAGAAGTGGGCTAATTTTCGATGTCAATTTTAACAACAAACATCCAAACAAACAAACGCGAAGCTGAGTTAAGAAAAACGTGTTAATAAAATAAAATACTTAAAAAAAAACTTTTTAAAAAAACCACGTTATTCTTGTGGACTAAAAAGTAGAAAATAACTATTTACATACATTTGATGACAAAAAACGTGGGTACGTTCACCATCAAATTTCCCGACCCATCTGCCCGACCCACGTTTTTTGTCATCAAATGTATGTAAATAGTTTTTTTTTACTTTTTAGTCCACAAGAAAAACGTGTTTTTTTTTATTTTTAAAGTTTTTTTTTAAAGTATTTTATTTTCTCCTTTTTAGTCCGTTGCTACACATGAAAAACGTGGTTTTTAAAAAGTTTTTTATATAGTTTATTTTTTACTTTATCTACCGATACGCTTTAAACAGAGAAAGGGTGTAATTTACGTTGCTGGCGTGGAGATCTACTCACGAATCACGTGATCAAATCTCCCATAAACAAACAAATAAACGCGAAGCTGAGTTAAGGAAAAACGTGTTTATGTGTATTTTAGCATGCCCAGCGTACCAACCGTGTCACCGTTAACAATGTGTTACCGTGTCCGTTCTCCTTTTTAGTCCGTTGCTACACATAAAAAAACGTGTTTTTTTTTAAATTTTTTTTTAAGTTTTTTATTTTCTCCTTTTTAGTCCGTTGCTACACATGAAAAACGTGGTTTTTAAAAAAGTGTTTATAAATACACGGACTAAAAATCTTGAGCGACCAGGATTCGAACCTGGGTTGTCGCGGCCACAACGCGAAGTACTAACCACTATACGATCACGGCCAGCGCGCTCACATCGATTGGGGCCGAAGTAACTGTATCAATAAGCCTCTAGTCTTGTCGGTATCTTTAGAAATCATGTCCTCAATTTTATGGTCCTTGGGGCGTAATTAAATTAAGCTAATTACGGTCTCTAATTGCTAGTTTTTATGATTGCATCTGAAATTGTTAGGCGAAAGTAGCCTACATGCCAAACTTCAGATCTCTAGAGCAATCAGAAGTGGGCTAATTTTCGATGTCAATTTTAACAACAAACATCCAAACAAACAAACGCGAAGCTGAGTTAAGAAAAACGTGTTAAAAACGTGTTAAAATATAAAATGCCTCAGATGTTCCACATTATCCCATAAGGCAACAAATACGTCTTAGAACCATGTTGCCTGTATGGTGTTGTTTATAATTATGTAAACATTATTCTACACAACTTTTATATAGTTTTCCTTACAATTGTGTACAATATCGTCTATACAATTACTTTAAAAAGTATCTTTTAAAAAGTCTAACAAATGTTCTACCAGATGGTTTTATACAGACACAATATCAGAGCTAACCTTTACGACATTATATGTTTATAATATGTTTTTAATACGATCATAATATATTGGCTTCTTTGTATGCCACGAATATAAAACCAGAGTTTCTTCCAGGCATCTCTTTGGGGGGGGGGGGTGGTGGAGGTGGTGGGGGGGTCTGTAACCCCCCCCCCCCCCGAAGAAAGTCTACCGCCCCCCCCCCCCCCCCACTAACGAAATGAAATTTATATAGAAAATATATACTTTTAACAGTGTCCGCCCCCCCCCCCCTTCCCAAAAAAAAATTCTACCCCCTCCCCGGATATTTCAAGTGCCCCCCCCCCCGGAAAAAAAGGTCTGGAAGAAACACTGTATAAAACATCACATGACAATGCTGGTACAACGTCGTATGTAGCTGCCGTCCTGTATTTGTCCTCTGATTAGTTCAGGCAATGCTACACAGAGGCGGGTATTGTACTGTATGAGGAATCCAAATGTAAAAGAGCTTAAGTGCATTTAAGATAGTTTTCCTAAAAAGAAACAATTTTGTTAAAAAAAATGTACATGTAATGATTTTGAAAAGTGATCGTTCATTTTAAATCACTTAGACTCCTTATCGGGTGATTACATTCAGTGTATAGCTGAAATTGTCGAAGGTGAATTTTCAAAGGGGCTTAAATGTTTTGTTAAGAAAAGTGTACTTAAGCCCTTTTATATTTGGGCTACACGTATGTAGCTACCGTTCTGTATATGTCCTCTGAATAGCTCAGGAAATTCTACACAGAGGCTGGTATTACGTCGCATGTAGCAGCTGTTCTGTCAATGCGCTCTGAATAGTTAGGGCAATGCTACACAGAGGCTGGTATTGTGCTGTATACAGCTGCCGTTCTGTCTGTTCGCTCCAAATAGTTTAGGCAATGCTACACACAGTATTATGTTGTATACAGCTGTTGGCTGTCAACTCCCTCTCAATAGTTCAGTTCTCTAATAGAAGGGTTGTAGTCTATGGGGACAAGTCGGTTCTTTGTCACGTGGAATCCCAAGGTAAATCTAGTCTGTGTTTGGGTTTGTGTGTCGAGTCAATCATAGGTGTGCACAAGAATTGTTAATGGTGGGGATTAGGTTAGGTCGGCGTGGGTGAGATGTGTATTTTATAGACTTGTGTTAGTGTTCTAAAACTATTATAATTACTGACCCCAGAAACAACTTTTGTCCTTCCGCTGAGTCGATAGTTTCCCTGTTCACAGTAGTGCTTCCAATTTTTGTTACAGCTACTAAATAATGTTAGTAATCTTTACATGCATTGTTAGATAAGAACGGCGAGAGGAGGGTGGGATGGGGACTACCAACCTAACAGAGTAAACTTATAATGTAAAATACAACAATTAGCTAGAAATATCGAATTCCTTCATAAATTAATTACCTTATTTATAGAAATTATAATGTTATGAACCTGTATGTACGATCCTTTCTGTTACTAATCCAATATTTAAAAAAAAAATAACGAACATTTACAAAACAAGAAATATTTTAATAATTCGACAAAAACAAATCAGACTCCCACCCCTTTCTCTTACAGCACGAACTTTGTCTCCGACCCCCGCGTTGTATATCTAGCATAAAAAAAAACCTCAGGCAATGGGACATACAATGAATTAAAAACTACCAGACAGCTCGCTGCATTGGAAACATCTAGACCTTAACGGTTCAGTGGTTTATTAAACTGCGCTTTGATACAATCTAGGCTAGTCCAAGCATCTATTTAAACAGAGACAGAACAGTCATGTGTTTTACAATATATAAATATAGGAGCCCAACACATGTTGATGCTACTTGAAGTCAACGTTAAAGATTTAGAACCAAGTTGGTGTCGAGAGTTGAAGATGTTGTTGCTGTATGTGTCTATAGCTGTTGTGACGTTTGTTGTGGTGAGATACGTGAGGAGAAACATTCAGTACAGGAAACTGTTTTTTCAGCTACCCATAGCAGCGGAGTATAGGTACACCACGGGAACATTGCACGCAGTAAGTAATGTAGGGAACATTACATGGTGTAAGAAGTGTAGGGAAAATTGCATGGGGAACATTGTGTGGTGTAAGTAGTGTAGGGAACATTGCATGGTGTAAGAAGTGTAAGGAACATTGCATGGGGAACATTGTGTGGTGTAAGTAATGTAGGGAACATTACATGGTGTAAGAAGTGTAGGGAAAATTGCATGGGGAACATTGTGTGGTGTAAGTAGTGTAGGGAACATTGCATGGTGTAAGAAGTGTAAGGAACATTGCATGGGGAACATTGTGTGGTGTAAGTAGTGTAGGGAACATTGCATGGTGTAAGAAGTGTAAGGAACATTGCATAGTGTAAGTAGTATAGGGAACATTACATGATGTAAGTAGTGTAGGTAACATTGGATAATGTAAGTAGTAGAGGGAACATTGCATGGTGTAAGTAGTAGAGGGAACATTGCATGCAGTAAGTAATGTAGGGAACATTGGATGGTGTAAGTAGTGTAGGGAACATTACACGATATAAGTTTTAGTGGGAACATTATATGATGTAAGACCTACACTGGAGGCATAGTAGGGAACATTGTGTGGTATAAGTTGTAGAGGGAACATTAACAGATTTGAATATAATTTCTTGATGTAATATATGTATATATATATATATATATATATATATATATATATATATATATATATATATATATATATATATATATATATATATATATGTCTATTTTTTTTTCTTCACATATTACATCGTTACATGTAGTATCCAGGACGTAATGAAGAAGGCATGGCGACTGACTTTATCAAAGCTCAAAAACATTGTTTTTGTCACGTGGAGTGGTTAGGTCCCCTGCAGCCGGTCATTGTCGCCTATCATCCGGACACGATAAGGGCCATAATCAAATCGTCAGGTAAGACTCCACTGTGTGACCTTTAGCAATTTTCTAGTCAAATGTCTTAGTTTTAACAGTCTGCTAATTGTGTATAACACAAGAGACAAAGTATACATCAGCACACATGCATAAATTGTATCAGGGTATGTTTCAAGATGTATGTATAGTATGCCATTCAACAGGAAGTATAACGTTCATGTGCTAATGTGCTAAAGATAAACGCGTTTAAGAGTATTTTTTATGTCTTCTTCTTCTTCTCTTCTTCTTCGTTCTTAATTTTTAGTGTTGGGAGGGATCGAGCCTTATCTGCCAGAGGGTTTGAACTCGAGACTTTTTTCGAATGTATCAACCATGAGCTTTGCCGACTCGACCATGCTTCCATCACGGTGCCCTGTCAAAACGGCCCGGGACAAATCGGCCCCGTCAAAACGGCCCCGTTAATACGACCCCGTCAAATCGACTCCCGACAAACCGACCCCGTCAAAATAGCCCCGTTTATAGTCTGTTTATAATACAGTTGGATGTAGCATTGTTTTCTTTATAGTTTACGTTTACGTCGTGGTGTCACACCCCCCCCCCCCTCTTGATATAATTTTCGATTTGTACTTAGAAGACTATTTAACTTTAACTAATGGATCTGGAAAATGGCATTTCATTCTATAAATTTTACAAATTTTAGGCCTACATAGGCCTAAAATTTATATATATATGCCACATACTGGTACACGTACGTGTTTAAGCTTTAATCACTGCTGACTTAATAGTAACGATGTTTACCTACAGTCTGTTTATAATACGGTTGGATGTAGCATTGTTTTCTTTATAGTTTACGTTTACGTCGTGGTGTCACACCCCCCCCCCCCCCTCTTGATATAATTTTCGATTTGTACTTAGAAGACTATTTAACTTTAACTAATGGATCTGGAAAATGGCATTTCATTCTATAAATTTTACAAATTTTTGCCTTTGGTGTCACCCCCCCCCCCCCCTAAATGGTGTCACCCGTTGCGGTCCGCACCCCCCCGCCTCGCCTTCGCTACGCCTCTGCGTTAGGCTACAGAGGAGTTAAACGAAGAGACCAACTTCTACTTACGATGGATATTTTTTAATATATAAATATTCTGAAGGCAACATTTTGTATTTTATATGTCCTGATTTTGTATTTATACTATATTATTATGCTTGCATACTACTGCTAAAAAGTTTATTTATAGGCTGATTCTCTCAATGTCTTGCACGACAAAGTGATATAGCCTGTAGTGTTATTATAACGATTGGGCTCTGTTTGACCCACAAACACTGAATCCCACTGTCGAAACGGTGGGGAGGGGGGGCTTTTTGGAACTTTTAACCTTTTTTTTAAAAATTATTTATATGTAACAAATATTAAAATTCCATTGTAAAAGTTTTAATTTTTTTATGAGGGAAAAGGGCCCCTATGTGCCTTGGGCCCCATGCCTTGCTTACGCTAGCTTTACGGTAGCTACGCCACTGTGTCAGTGGTCCTTTTGTCTGGAGCCAAATTGACAGGAGCCTTTTTGTCGGGAGCCTATATAACGGGAGCCTATTTGTCGGTAGTCTAAATGACGGGAGCCTATTTGTCGGGAGCCTATATGACGGGGTCCATATGTCGCTGGCCCTTTTGACGGGGCCGATTTGACGGGGTCGTTTTGACGGGGTCGTTTTGTCGGGGTCGTTTTGACGGGGCCGTTTCGTCATTGGCCGAATTGACGCCGCACGTTCCAATCACAATTAAGGTTTACGTGTCAACTGGTTATGCGCCATTGAGGCCATTGACTCCGATTTTAGCCTGCTTTTCTTTTTGGATTTGCTTCCATAGCCTTTGTCCAACCATGAACAAACTACAAGGCAGCAGTTGTTTGATTTTGGAGTTGTCTCTCCTAGAAGAGTGGCTGTCCCCAGCTAACGAGCCTCATCTGCCCGAGGGTTCGAACTCGAGACTTTTCGGTTTAGCAACCATGAGCTCTACCGACTCGACCACGCCGACCCCATTTTTTCTGTGTATTCCCACATTCACCATCTCCCATATTCCCAATATTGAACATCTCGCAAATTCCTTGCATTCCTATATTTCCTGTATCCCACATCTACCTTATTCCCAATATCCCATACCCCTTGTATTCCCTAACTAACATATTACCTGTATTCCCCATCTCCCACATTACTCTTTCGTCCATCTCCCATATTCCTGATTCCTCATATTCCCCATCTCCCATATTCCCCATCTCCCATATTCCCTGTATTCCCCATCTCCCATATTCCCTGTATTCCCCATCTCCCATATTCCCTGTATTCTCCATCTCCCATATTCCCCATCTCCCATATTCCCCATCTCGCATATTCCCCATCTCCCATATTCCCCATCTCACATATTCCCTATCTGCCATATTCCCTGTTTTCGCCATGTCCCATATTCCCCGTATTCCCCATCTCCCATATTCCCTGTATTCCCCATCTCCCATATTCCCTGTATTCCCCATCTCCCATATTCCCCATCTCCCATATTCCCCATCTCCTATATTCCCCACCTGCCATATTCCCTGTATTCCCCATCTCCCATATTCCCTGTATTCCCTGTATTCCCCAGCCCACAAGCCCCGTGGCTCCCTACTCTCATCTCCCTACGACATGGGCTTACGCTGGCTAGGCGAGGGCTTGCTGATCTCCAATGGCGGGAAATGGGCAAGAAGTCGTCGTCTGCTGACCCCCGCCTTCCATTTCGACATTCTCAAACAATATGTGGACATTTACAACACATGCGCAGATATTATGCTCGTGAGTAATTACATTAATTACTTTATATGTTATTTTATATTTTCTAATAATCCTTTTGAATTGTTAAATAAACAATAGTTATAAATTCTATAAGTATCGCATTACCAGTATTAAAATGCTTTAAGGTAGGGGAGGGTACGGACTTAACTGGGGGGGGGGGGTGTATTCAATTGGTTTCTCGTCACATTAATGCATTTTGAAAAGAAAGTAGATAGTTATTTTAAGATGTATTTTGCTATAAATTATTTCAAAATTTTTACCACATATAATGTATATTGTACCCGATCTTCAGAATTATTTATATTCTTTACTTAAATGTTTTCAACCAAATCAACCATGGAAACACATTTATGACAGAAAGGAGATATTTTTTTTCTTTTAGTTGATTCAATTTAACAAAGGGAAATAAACAAGAAATAAAAATTAAAAAAAATTTATTTGAAGATTGGTTAGAAAATAAATTGTGTATATCTTGATAATAAAATGCAATTAGAAACATTTATGTTGTAAAGGTGGGGGTGGGAGCGAATTGGGAGAGGTGTAAATACCGATTTTTGAATAAAAATATTTTTATTATTTTTACTCATGATCTATACTAACAATAGTTGAAACGAGAATCCAATTCTACGTTAAAATAATTCGTTCAGGATCCTCAGATCAAGAACCTTAACCGTGGTTTTTGTTTCAGTGTGTTATTGAATGAGTGTCAATGTAGGCATATATCTTACATGCATTTATACAGATCAATTATCACATAGATACAACACTGAAATACATGCTTTTATTGACATAATACGCTACAAATATTTTTTTTGAAATTATTGACAAAAACAAGATATTTGTAATATACAATTGTTAAAATGTGGGAAATATGTGTTTTGGATATATCACCACTTACAGGGTAAAATACAGACTCTGTCGATGAAAAAAGAACCGTTTGATATCTACTCACTAATCAACTTGGATGCTCTTGACGTCATCCTGAGATGTGCGTTTTCTTACCTGTCTAACTGTCAGCTTGACGAGTGAGTACAGTGTTACTGCTGGGAGTGTATACTTGATACTTTAACCGCGTTTTCTTTTGTATATATATATATATACATATATATATATATATATATATATATATATATATATATATATATATATATATATATATATATATACAAACACATATATATATATGTGTGTGTTTGTATATATATATATATATTTATATTTATATATATATATATATATATATATATATATATATATATATATATATATATATATATATATATATATATATATGTATGCATGTATAGGTCAGTGAACTCTTATTCTACTGCTATCGGGGAGTTGCAGGCTTTGTGGTCAGACAGAATGATGTAAGTAAATTTGATCGATGTTTTTTTTTTAAAAACAGGTCGGCGTAATCGTGTTGGTAAAGCTCATGGATGCTAAACCGAAAAGTTTCGAGTTTAAACTCCTGGGTTTATAGTTGGGAACAGTAAACTAACTAAGAGAGACAACTCCAAAAATCGAACAACTGCTGCCTTGTATTTCGTTCTTGGTTGGACAAGGTCTATGCAGTGTTTCTTCCAGACTTTTTTCTCCGGGGGGGCACTTGAAATCTTCGGGGGGGCGGTAAACTTTCTTCGGGGGGGCGGACACTGTTAAAAGTATATATTTTCTATATAAATTATATAAATTTCATTTCGTTCGGGGGGGCGGTAAAAATTTTTCGGGGGGGCTTCGCCCCCCCGAAGAGATGCCTGGAAGAAACTCTGGGTCTATGGAATCAAATCCAAAAAGAAAAGCAGGCTGAAATCGGAGTCAACGGCCTATATGGCCGATGGCTGATACGCAGTAGGAAATCTATTGCAACATTTAAGTGGCCTACATTTATTGGTCTACTGTAGCCCAACTTTCGCAATACGTGTTGCTTGCAGAAAGCCCCTTTGAGTTATTATTATCCCACTGCCCCCCCCCACCCATCCAGAAAGCTAGCCAGTCTCAACAGGGGCGTAGCGAGGGGGGGGGGGGGCGGGGGGTGCGGACCGCACCGGGTGACACCATTTAGGGGGGTGACACCAAGGCAAAAAATAGCAAAATATATAGAGAAAAACTCGAGGGGGGTGCAAATCGAAAACTTGAGGGGGGTGCAAATCGAAAGTTTGAGGTGGGGGGGGGGTGCAAATCGAAAACTTGAGGGGGGGGTGCAAATCGAAAATTTGAAAGTTTGTCCCTGGGAAGGGTCTCTATGCCTCTGGGGGGGGGGGGGGGGGTGACACCATTAAGTGCCGCACCGGGTGACACCCGACCTCGCTACGCCACTGAGTCTCAACTATCCCCCTGCTATTTCTCCCATCTATGGAAGCCCATCCGCCTCACTATAGCCGTATTCTCTCCCACAGAAAGTCAGTCTCAACTATCTCCCTGCTATCTCCCCCATCTATGGAAGCCCATCCGCCTCACTATAGCCGTATTTTCTCCGATCTATGGAAGCCCATCCGCCTCACTATAGCCGTATTTTCTCCCACAGAAAGCCCCGTTATCACATTGAGTTCCTGTACAGCTTCACGGAACACGGTAGAAAGTTCTACAAACTTTGTGATGTGGCACACGCCGTGGAGGAAGAAATTATCGCTAAACGAAAGAAAGAATTGGTGAGTAGGAAGAAATCATTGATAAAAGAAAGAAATAATTGGTGAGTAGAAAGAAATTAACAGAAAAAGAAATAAATAATAGGTGAGTAAGCAAGAAATTATAGCTAAAAGAAAGAATTAAGGAGTGGGAAAAAATTATCCGTGATCGAAAAAATGAATGGTTAGTAGGAAAGAAATCATCACTAAAAGAAAAAAATAATTTATGAATAAAGGGAAGAAATTATCGCTAGAAAGATTAGGTAAGAAGAAACGAAATCCATTGGTGAGTAATGATAAGTGAGGAAGAAGTTGTCGGAAGTAATTTGTTATTTGAAAAAAAATACTAAACAAATGGAAAAAAAATTGCCGCTAATGAAATATATAAATGTGTGAGTGAGGAAAAATCTGAATTAAAAAAAAAGAAATAATTAAGGGTGTGGGATACAATTATTGATTATAGAAAGAAGCAAGAATATCACTTGAAATGCATCTCACTGACACACTGTGTACACACTTTATTTTTCTAATGCAATAAACCAGGAGAGATCTTCTGTGCCAGTCTCTAACAGGAAGGTCAAGGATTTCTTAGACACACTTCTCACAGCACGAGATGAAGACGGGAATGGAATGACGGCGTTAGAGATACGAAACGAGGTGGACACTTTCTTGTTTGGGGGTAGGCTACTGGCTACATTTTATGCATATCCTTCCTTACAACTGCTAGCTAGATGGTAGCTACTTGCAGAGTTTCTTCCAGGCCCCCCGAACATTTTTTACCGCCCCCCCCCCCCCCGAACGAAATGAAATTTATATAATTTATATAGAAAATATATACTTTTAACAGTGTCCGCCCCCCCGAAGAAAGTTTACCGCCCCTCCCCGAAGATTTCAAGTGCCCCCCCCCCCGGAGAAAAAAGTCTGGAAGAAACACTGGCTACTTGCTACCCAGGTATTTCCCTACAACTAATAGCAAGAAGGTAGCCCCAGTCTCCCTATGTATTTTGCTTACAACTGCTAGCTAAAATGTAGCCACTGGCTACACAGCTACCCATGAACTCCTATACAACTGCTAGCTATAATGTAGCTACTGGCTACCCATCTACCCATGTACTCCCCTACAACTGCTAGCTAAAATGTAGCCACTGGCTACCCAACTACCCACGTACTCCCCTCCATCTTATAACTATAAGGTAGCCACTGGCTACCATAATAGCCACTGGCTACCCATCTACCCACGTACTCCCCTACAACTTCTATCTAGAATGTAGCCACTGGCTACCCATCTACCCACGTACTCCTCTACAACTGCTAGCTATAAGTTAGCCACTAGCTACCCATCTACCCACGTATCCCCTACAACTGCTAGCTAGAATGTAGCCACTATCTACCCAGCTACCCACGTATCCCCTCCATCTTATAACTATAAGGTAGCCACTAGCTACCCATCTACCCACGTATCCCCTCCATCTACCCATGTATCCCCTCCATCTACCCACGTATCCCCTCCATCTACCCACGTATCCCCTCCATCTACCCACGTATCCCCTCCATCTACCCACGTATCCCCTACTACTAGCTAGAAAGTAGCCACTGGCTACCCATCTACCCACGTATCCCCTCCATCTACCCACGTATCCCCTCCATCTACCCACGTATCCCCTCCATCTACCAGGCCACGACACGACGGCCAGCGGGATGACGTGGACACTGTACGAGCTGGCCAAACACCCAGAGCACCAGGAGAGGATTTACGACGAGGTCAAGGACGTCTTGGACGGCAGGGAGCATCTGGACTGGTCAGTTGACTTGTTTTATTGGACGGCAGGGAGCATCTGGACTGGTCAGTTGACTTGTTTTATTGGACGGCAGGGAGCGTCTGGACTGGTCAGTCGACTTGTTTTATTGGACGGCAGGGAGCATCTGGACTGGTTAGTCGACTTGTTTTATTGGACGGCAGGGAGCATCTGGACTGGTCAGTTGACTTGTTTTATTGGACGGCAGGGAGCATCTGGACTGGTCTGTCGACTTGTTTTACTAACCATACACATGGTCAGTCGACTTGTTTTATTGGACGGCAGGGAGCATCTGGACTGGTCAGTCGACTCGTTTTATTGGACGGCAGGGAGCATCTGGACTGGTCTGTCGACTTGTTTTACTAACCATACACATGGTCAGTCGACTTGTTTTATTGGACGGCAGGGAGCATCTGGATTGGTCAGTCGACTTGTTTTATTGGACGGCAGGGAGCATCTGGACTGGTCAGTCGACTTGTTTTATTGGACGGCAGGGAGCATCTGGACTGGTCTGTCGACTTGTTTTACTAACCATACACATGGTCAGTCGACTTGTTTTATTGGACGGCAGGGAGCATCTGGACTGGTCAGTCGACTTGTTTTATTGGACGGCAGGGAGCATCTGGACTGGTCAGTCGACTTGTTTTATTGGACGGCAGGGAGCATCTGGACTGGTCAGTCGACTTGTTTTACAAACCATACACATGGTCAGCCAACTTGTTTTTGCTAACCATACACATGGTCAGTCGACTTGTTTTACTAACCATACGCATGGTCAGTCGACTTGTTTTACTAACCATACGCATGGTCAGTCGACTTGTTTTACTAACCATACACATGGTCAGTCGACTTGTTTTACAAACCATACACATGGTCAGCCAACTTGTTTTTGCTAACCATACACATGGTCAGTCGACTTGTTTTGCTAACAATACACATGCATTGATGCACATTCCTTTTAAAACATTTGACATTTCAAACCTTTAACTAACAAAGTGGAAAAGCGACAAAAACTTCCTATTTTTTAACGGATAATACATTTCTACCGCTTTTCTACAGATTGTTTTGTATATTGAATACGATATTCTATGGATGTATAATTTTAAATTCTTACAGTACATTAATTGAATCAACCACACTTACACATGTGAACATAGTTCTGTAGATCTATTCGTTATAAAAGAAGCGCTAATGTTTACTTCAGGAATGATCTTCCAAAACTGGAGTTCACAACGATGTGCATTAAAGAAGGTCTCAGGCTTCACTCGGCTATTCCAGCTATTGAGAGAACAACGGTGGGAGAGTGTGTGATTAATGGAATTTCATTTCCTGCTGGTAAATAATAGAAACTCTTTATGTAAACCATTTTTTTTTTAATTTTCTTTTTTTTTCTAAAGAAAGAATATATCATAAAAATCTGATTTTGTAAACAAATTGAATTGAATTAATTGAGATGCAAGGAAAATTAAAGTTACAACTATATGTTTATAAGAAATTATTTATATTTAAAAGTTAAGATAAAAAGTTTACAGTGGAGGAATGAGATATCAATGTTGACAGCTTCTAGTATTCTTCAGAGTCTATAGTTTTACTCTATCTTCTATGTTCTTACTTTTAATGTTGGAAGGGAATTAAGTATTGCGTGTCAACTCGTTATGCCCCATTTGTCTCCGACTTCAGACTGTTCTTCTTTTTGGACTTGCTCAGTGTTTCTTCCAGGCACCGCCCCTCCCCCCCCCCCCCCCCCCCGAACGAAATGAAATTTATATAACTTATATAGAAAATATGTACTTTTAACAGTGTCCGCCCCCCCCCCCCGAAGAAAGTCTACCGCCCACCGAAAATTTCAAGTGCCCCCCCCCCCCCCGGAGAAAAAAAGTCTGGAAGAAACACTGGAGTTGCTTCCATAGCCTTTGTCCAAGAACGAACTATAGGGTAGCAGTTGTTTTGAAGAATGGCTCTCCCCAGCTAACGAGCCTCATCTGCCCAAGGATTCGACCTCGAGACTTTTCGGTTTAGCAGCCATGAACTTTTACCGACTCGACCCCTAGTTTTACTGCATGATGTTGGTTAATATATTAACTGGTGTACACACTTAATCACACATTTGAGATACATTTAGTTTTCAAACACAATGTAACCCACCTACTCTGTATTTCTTCCCCTGGTTTTTGATGTCATCAGTTGTGAAAAAAAAAACGTAATGTGATTTTATTTCTCTATTCGCTCTGAAAGGGACACGGGTCGCAATCCAGCTGTGGATACTACACCACAATCCAGCTGTGGATACTACACCACAATCCAGCTGTGGATACTACACCACAATCCACACATTTGGGAGGATCCACACGTTTACAACCCAGAGAGGTTTCACCCAGACAACCAGGCCAACATGGATCCGTTCCAGTTCCTTCCGTTCTCCGCGGGGTCAAGGTCACTGTGTCTAATTATAGTGTCAAGAGACTTGCTTTCATTCAATTCAAAACAAGATACAGCGCTCTGTTAACTGAGTTGAACACTTTATATCTTCCCGTGTCGACACTGTACACATTAATCTCTTACTCGCTCGATGTTACCTAAAATCCCCCAACCCAAAAAAAAAATAAATAAATAAAAAAAAATTAAAATTCATTCCGCTTTTATAAACGGATTCGAGCTAGGAACAACCGCACTATCCCCGTTTTATAGATAATAATACCTTAAACTCCAAAATGACCCATAACAACCGATATTTAAAAACCATTCCGCTTTTTGAAAATTGTATTAAATTGAGTAATTAATTATTCCTATTTTGACATTTTAATTAGTTGGCCGCTATTTAGGTTGAAAGTAGACTCGTTATTAAGATGTTTGTAAGTCTTGTATATATGTAAATATTTTGCGAAGGGTTTTAATCAATGTTTTTAAAGCCTTTGATATTTTTTTTTATATAGAAAGAGAAGTATGAGAATGTGTATTCTATAAATTATGTGTTTAATAAAAAAAAATATCTCATCTGCAGAAATTGCATAGGCCAGAACTTCGCTATGAATGAAATGAAGACTACGATAGCCAGAATAATTAGGAAGTTAGTTTTGATTTTTTCTACACAGCCTTATCTTAGCTCAATACACAATGAATACAGTTGTAGGCTCACCAACCCGATAACTAATATTTTTATCGCCCTAAAAATCAAAATTTTTCTCTCAAAATTTAATTTTTTTATTATTAGATAGAAACTTTAAAATTATATGGTTTGCAATAGAGTTCTATTATAATGTTTAAATAGATTTTGTTGAAAGTTTATATGATCTAACTATCTTCAGATTTAGACTGACCGTGGATCAGAAGAATAATGTACGACGTTTACCGATGGTCACCATGAAGCCAGAGAACAAAGTCTTGTTGTTCGCTTCGGCCAGGGATTAGTACTTTCTGTTAGAGAGTAGGCCTATATATATATATATATATATATATATATATATATATATATATATATATATATATATATATATGAGTGTATGTGTGTGTGTATGCGTGATTGTGGTAGCTTAAACTTTAATGTTGCCCTACACTCTGTACCTCTCATCCACGCAAACTGTGAAAATGTTGCCATAAGGTACTCTTTCCAATAGTTATTACAATTTTGTACTAACCTACGTAGCCGTAATAGTACTCTTTAAGTTTAAACCTGTGGTTTTAAGACTATTGTTTATTTATAAAGTGACACTCTGTTAGTTACTTCCCATTTGGTTAACTTAATTAAACAAGAGAAATAACTTTTAAAAAGCCAATAATTTAATGAGAAAATAAAGCTTGATACTTAATTAAAATATTTACTAAAATACAGCTGCAAAAATATTATTTTATTTGTTAAGGAACATTTTAAAAGTTTTTTTATCAAGTTTTAATTTGTTATAGTTTTAATTAAAATACAAAACCTTTTACATTTATAAACAAGTATTTATATAATTACAATAATTCCATTTGATTTAATGATACTACAGCATTGTTCATGCGAAATTTTTTGTTTTCACTATCCTTGGATTCTTCGTCCAAATGACCCCACCCCTGTGTTGAAATACTGTGTTAAATACTGAGGGTGATGTATTATCAAAATAAATTGCTAACAACATTAAATTGACTCCCACCCCCACAATCCCCATGTTCCCACCTCGTTTCGCATTATTCATTATTTGCCATTAAGGTTCCTATTGTTACTTTTTGTGTGTTGCTTTATTATACAGCCTACAAAGAGACATTGTAAAGACATTATTTGACACTATTTTACTATTACCTTATATGTTGGGTACATTGGTCCACCACGTACCCTTCTCCTTTTGTATTCATTTTATTGTCTATAAATTAATACTTACAATGGTTTTATTAACTTTAATAACATGTAAAGCCTTATTTGAACACTTTTATGAGAACACTGTTAACCAATTTTTGACCTTTAAAGCTCCCCTATATCCCCACACCCACCCCTAACCTGTCGGTACTAAACATCCAAATAAACATAAACACTACTCAGTCCACCGACTTGCACATACCAACCTTTCACCCTCCCGCTTAATGGCTCACACAGCCATCTGTTCGCCAAATCACCCCACCCCCACACTATAAATAGTAACACCTCAGCAGTTAGATCTCACAGCACACAGATTTTGACGCTTGGCTTGCCTTAAACACATACAGACAATCTCTCCATGCCTAGTCATAAGCCTCTATCCCCCCACCCATCTTTCTTCTTCTTCGTTCTTAATTTTAGTGTTGGGAGGGATCGAGCCTTATCTGCCAGAGGGTTTGAACTCGAGACTTTTCGGTTTAGCAACCATGAGCTTTACCGACTCGACCACGCCGACCCCACCCTCAGACATGATAAACCCACATTTTTTTAAACTGTTCCAACGAAACAGGTGAAGTAGAGTTTGGTAGATGTAGAGTTCACCGGTGACGTCAGCATAAGAAAGGATCGTATGGTCAGACCCATGCTTAGCCAAAATCGGTTTTAAAAGACAAAAACATGTCGGAATTGAGGGGACACAATGTACAGAAGAAGATGAGTTGACCTGTTTTTGTGACCTCAGCATATTAAGGAATAGTGTGGTCAGACCCATGTCAGCCGAGGTCTTTTTGAACGTGGGGTATGTTTTTTGTGTGCGTATAAGTGACGAAAGTTATGTCATTTATCCAAAGGATGACGGGTGGTCTAGTTATGTTTATAAAACACTTTACATGAGTGTAGGAATTGAAGGTTTGATGGTGAGAGGTACCAAAATGTTTGGCAACCCCATGCACGTAGGATCAAAATGCTTTTTTTTTTGTTGTATTGTTTAAAATTCGTTTTTACTAAGGTCAATAGCCATGTACATTTTTTTCAATAAAGCGGTTAATACCGTCATTAGATACGTTGTATTTCGTCCACATATTGTTTGATCATAAAGTTTATGACTTTAGGTTTTGTCCACAGATGGGATTTTCGACTTCCTTTTCGTCCACATAAAGCTTACTTGAAATTATATTAAATTAACAAAAAAAAACGAAGAGAAAAAAATTATATTTGCATAAACCCCTTACCCCCAACAACAACAACAACAAAATAGCTAAATAATTAAAAATCTAGTACTGTCTTACTCGTTACAACACACAAGTAAATTCTGAATGCGATCTAGAGTTTAAATATTTTTTTTAAGATAAAACAGAACATTCTTTGACAAAATAAAACAACACTAGAAATCAAATGTTATAACAAACCAGTTACATTCCTGATAATTTGCCACCTTAATTAATATGGAATATTTCAATTAATTAATTTGTAATCTGATTATACAGAACAAACCTGACACTGTATTACACTTAACGTTGTCCTTTTATAAGTCGTTTGAGGGAGATACGAGGGGTGACAATCAGATCAGTTTATTGGAAATTTGTAATTGATACATCCCACAATTTATAGAATATTACCTTCTGAAAGTTTGATGTTTGACAGCGTAACGTTGGTACCACTATGTATGGTTACTGTTGTTGTCCTTGAATCAGGTGTTATGGTGATATATTATCGATACATGTTCGAACTGATAACTGACCATTATTTCAGGGTGTAAACATTTAACCTTTGAGCCCGCCAGCCCGGTAAACCGGCTTCAACATTAGGCATATATGTCCGAAAAGCCAGTTTTCCGGCCCGATGATCTAGCGTCATATTCCTAGAGGCCGGTATACCGTCTAATTAAATATAATTAGCGGAAGACTGACTAAAACTGCGCATGTCTTTTGCGTGCTGGATTATGATTCTAAAAATAGATTTTTAGGAAAAGTGAAAGTGTTTACATTTCGTAGCAATGCTTCCGAAACGAGAAGCTGAGCCACAGCCGTCGACTTCATCACATAAAGCTGGTGCAAAAGATGAAGCAAAAGACCGAAATATCAACAAAAGAAGTAGAATGACTGCATCTCAGGCAATACAACTACTTATTGATTCTGATGAAGAAGATAATATTCCTGGTCTATATTGTGATGATAGTGACGTTAATTTTGAGACTGAACACAGTGAATTGAAATTGACAATGACAATGAAACTGTTCAAGTACGTTCTGATGCACGTGGTGCTGTAAAACTTCAGTCTCCTTAGCGTGTGGATAATAATTATGTTCAAAAGTTATAGGCAAAGTTAGAAGCAGAGAATTGAAACTTGGTTTGGCCCTGGGAGCTCAGGAAATGGGAGAAACTAGGCCAGGGCTCAAAGGGCTCTACGACTAATTCGCGCAAGACACTTGCCCAAATGTCGAATACGACAAAATCAAAAATGGAAACTTGTCTGAATGCGACTGATACCCGAAAGCCGTTCGCCCGGAAAAATCCTTTAGTAATACAAGTCAAATAAAATGTGTAACATTCCATTACACATTTTCATTTTCATTTTAATATGTATTTTAATTTTTAATTAATTGTTGTTGTTTTTTTTCAATAAATCCAGAAATTAAAGGTCTCCTATCTTAGAACAATAGCAGAGTCATAAGAACGTGTTTTAAACTGTTTGCCTTTAGGTCAATTTTCTATAAAAAATAGGTGATTTTGTTAAAACAATATTCAAATGTCTAGAAAAAGAAAAATACACGTAGATAATTACTTCCCATTAGCACGGCCTAAATAAATCCAAGGTAGGCTACGTAAAAATATTAATTTAAGATTTAAAAGGTAATAACAAATGTAATACAAAATAATAAAAAAAATGAAAAATGTGTATAAACCACAATGTTTAGCATTATAAAAGTATGCATATATTGTATTTATAAAGACTTAATTTTTGTTTCTAGAATTTTGTTAATTATGAAAACCATAAAATTATAAATTTATTAATCGGTAGGAGCGCATCATTCAGATTAAACAATCATTCTAGCATGCTTTTTATTGCCCTTCGATATATACCAATTGTTTGATAAAATAGAACTTTCTTGAGTCTATGCTGATATTACCAACGCTCATTCTTGTTCCCTCTAAGTTGAGAGACCCGAAGAGGAGCCACCTGAACATGGTTCGGGTGGCTTAATGAAATCATTGGTCCACCATTTTCAGATACAGCGAAGTGAACAACCCTGACAATTGAAGTACCTGAAGAAGAAAATCCTGATCTTTTCTCGACTCAACCAACACCAAGTACAGTCATGCAGGTGGTCATTCAAGCCGTGCCAATCTACGTGGACACATCATCCGAAAACTCATCAGCACACACCAAATATTGCTAATGAACTACATCAGCCCACACCAAATATTGCTAATGAACTACATCAGCCCACACCAAATATTGCTAATGAACTACATCAGCCCACACCAAATATTGCTAATGAACTACATCAGCTCACACCAAATATTGCTAATGAACTACATCAGCTCACACCAAATATTGCTAATGAACTACATCAGCCCACACCAAATATTGCTAATGAACTACATCAGCCCACACCAAATATTGCTAATGAACTACATCAGCCCACATCAAATATTGCTAATGAACTACATCAGCTCACACCAAATATTGCTAATGAACTACATCAGCCCACACCAAATATTGCTAATGAACTACGGACGAGGAGACACATGGTTCTTCTCATCAGAAATCTTTAACGTGGCAGAACTGAATAACACAACTAAACAATACGGACCTTACTCACTACACTTTACAATCTACCATAAGGACAAAATCAACGGTATACTCAGATGGGTCCCTACCGCACTCAAAAACGGCACCCTGCTCAAATAAATAAGAATAATTAGCAAAATGGAACCATCCGTAAACAAAATCACGCATACCTACAATCGAAGCTTCACCATCTTCACAGATAACCCGTCAACCATCCCTCACTATATCAAATTCAATTACAAAAACAAAGCGATTAACGTTCTCATAGCATTCCCAGGAAGAAAAC